AGCTGTTTAATTAATTGCCTAACTGACCTCTTCTGGCCTGAGCTTTCTCCCTTCCACAACACCTCTAGTCTTGGGATTGATGGTTTAGTTCAGGATTCTGCTGGGAAGAGGGCTCTGTTGGTGTTTCTGCCTTAGTCCACTCGTCACTCAACATTTATTAGGTGTATATTTTTGGACAAATAATACTCAATTTTCTGAGACCTCATTTTTCTCATCTGTGAAATGAGGATAGCAATGGTAACTATCTTGCAAGTTCTGTGAGGATTAAATGAGATAGGTCCTATAAAAATTCTTAGCCTAGTACCTACCTACCTTATAATAAGTTTGATATAAGTGTAAGGGATTGATATTATCTGCTTTATATCTTATTTTCTGGTCTCCTGCTAACACACATCTTGGCTTTTATAGGACAGTTGTTAAAGCATAGCGGCTCTGGAACTAAGCTCTATGTGTTCAAGTTCTAGTTGTGTATCTTCCTAGCTCTGTGACTTTGGCCAAGTTACTTGACCTTCTGGTTCAGGGGTCCCCGGGGTCACCTTCATATTTGGTGCTTTGCCTGGACTCCTGGGCCTAGTGTATAGTTTTTCTTATGGCTAAAATTATTATAGTGGCACAGTAAGAATACACATCTGGATCAGGAAGGGAGATAGACACAGGCGGAGACTGGTGGAATTCACGTGCAGGCTTCCTGTGCTCTCCCTCACATGAAAGGTCTCCCACAACACACTCCCCAGCGCAGCATTGCAGCCACTTGTGTACAGTGTTTCTGCCCAGAGAAGCCCAATACAGGCTCAGCAACCAGATTTTTGTTGGGAACTGGACACATTGGCACCCTCTACCTTCCATGTACCAAAATTCAGACTCCTGGAAGAAAAGTAGGCCTTCATCATAAGTCACATTGTTCCATAAACCACAAACAGCTGCGAGCTGGTATACCAGGGTTCCGTGCCCCAACCCTGTGTGTGAGGGGAACATTTTAAAAGCCAAGTTCTCAGACCCCAGTCAAGGGCCATCCAACCCTGGAAGCCTTTATGGAGATACCAGTCTTGGGCCTGTTAAGTTAACCCTTTTCTGCCCATCTCCCTGTGCCTCAGTTTCCTCTAAAAAAAGGATACAAGTATTATCCACCCCAAGGAACTTTTAAAATCACTTTATTGGGAGAGAATTTACACAAATAAAATATGCTTATTGAAAGTGTTCAGTAAATTTTAAGACATATATTCACCACCATATCCAAGATACAGAGCATTTGCAACACTTCAGAAAGTTCTCTTATGCCTCCATGCAGTCAGTCCCTCTTAATAATACGATCGGTCTGCTTCTTTCCATTTCCTAAGCCATGTCCAAGTCCAGGCTAACATATCTCCCTGTAACTGTTGCAGTGGCCTCCTATGTGGTCTCCTTGTGTCTATACTTGATCCATTCCTGTGTTTTTCCATGCTGTGTCGGGTTCATAATTTTAAGACAGCTCATCTAATTTTATCACTACCCACTGTAAACCACCCTTCAGTGTTTGTTTCCTGCTTTTGGGAAAGACCAAAATCATCAATGTAGCCTAAGAGACCCGGAGTGATCTGGCTGCCGTCTACTTCACAGCGGCATTGCCTGAGGCTGAGATACGTGTGCCCTGCTTCTTACCACTTCCAGGTTTTCACCAACTGTTCCCACTGTCTGGAATTTTCTCTCCTCTGTTTTCCCTCAGTTAATTTCTACTTGTGCTTCAGAATTGAGATCCAGTTTTGCTTTCTCAAGCAAAGCATTTGCCTCTGTAAACATTGCTTCTGATAAGAATGGCATACAGTACCTGGACTGTTTGTGCAAACAATATGGTTTCTACTGAAAACCTGCTTTTCTGGAAGTCTGAAACTTTGGTATGTGCTAATCAGGAAGTCAGGAGGTACCTATGTGACTAGCCCCCAGTGAAAATCCTGGGCACCAAGTCTCCACTGAGCTTCTCTGATAGACAGCATTTCACAGGCCTTGATTTTTGGAGGAATTAAGCATACCTGTGTGACTCCAGTAGGAAAGGACTCTTGGAAGCTTGCACTTGGTTTCTTTCCAAGTTCACCCCATGTGTCTTTTCCCCTTGCTAATTGTATTTTATTTTCTTTCACTGTAGTAAATCTTAGCCATGAGTGTCATTGTATATCAGGTCCTGTGAGTTCTCATGGCCCATCATACAACCTGGATCTGGTTTTAGGAACTGCCAATACTAGCTCCATGAAGCTCTAGCTTTTTGGCTCATCTATGTAATTCCTGGTGACTAACATTATTTTATAGATACTGAATATTTCTTGAAAAAGTAATATGGTGTGCATTCTGTATTAGTCTGTTCTCATGCTACTAATAAAGACATACTCGAGACTGAGTAATTTATAAAGGAAAGAGGCTTCAGTCACAGTTCCACATGGCTGGGGAGGCCTTACACTCATGGTGGAAGAGCAAAGGATGTCTTACATGGCGGCAGGCAAGAGAGGCTGTGGAGGGGAACTCCTATTTATAAAGCCATCATATCTTGTGAGACTTATTCACCATCATGAGAACAGCATGGGAAAGACCCACCCCCATGATTCAGTTATCTCCCATCAGGTCACTTTCATAACACGTGGGAATTATGGGAGCTACAATTTAAGATGAGATTTGGTTGGGGACAGAGACAAACCATATAACATGCACTAAAACTTTCTATAGCTACCATGCCTTCGTATCAAAAATATATGCATGACTTAAATAACAAAGTCAAGTAAAAGTAGTCTTCTCATTCTTGACTTGTAATACCTTGTTGCAGGTACTCCAGGGACATGCTGAAGGCAAAGTATAATTCTTTTTTTTTTTTTTTTTCTTTTTTGAGACAGAGTCTTGCTCTGTTGCCCAGGCTGGAGTGCAGTGGCGCGATCTCGGCTCACTGCAAGCTCCGCCTTGCGGGTTCATGCCATTCTCCTGCCTCAGCCTCCCGAGTCACTGGGACTACAGGCACCCGCCACCACTCCCAGCTATTTTTTGTTGTTGTTGTTGTTGTATTTTTAGTAGAGATGGGGTTTCACGTGTTAGTCAGGATGCTCTCGATCTCCTGACCTTGTGATCCACCCGCCTCAGCCTCCCAAAGTACTGGGATTACAGATGTGAGCCACTATGCCCAGCCAAGGCAAAGTATAATTCTGAGAGCTCCCATATGCAGTTCTCAAGAAAGCTTGCCACTGTCCAAGTGAAAACAGCAATGATATTACAGTAATATTTTGATGATCACTGTATTGCAGAATACACGACTGCCATTCTCACTGGACTGGAACAATTAGCTTTAAAAACACAGGTCACCATTCAGAGCTGAAGGGGACACAGCATAGTTTGAAATTCCTTGGTTCGAAATGCTACTTTTGAGGTCTCACCTGGTTGAGGAGATGGTTGCATGACATACATTAGCTGATTTCTGTCAGTGGTTGACATGGAAGTCCCTTAAAAAGGGTGTGGAATGGAAGAGGGGCTGTGGTTGCAAAGAACAGGATTTGCGCACCTGGTGATGAAAGCATAGCAAATGATTGGGAAAGAACCATCATTCTGGCAGAGAAAATGATTTCAGGGTACATGCAGGCATGGGCACAGTAAATTAGGCACTGTTGGAACTGTAAGTTGTAACAGCCTTCTTGGAGAAAAAATTGGCAATCTGCAAGTCACAGTCAGATTATAAAATGTGCAGACAAGTGATTCACGTGATCTAGTTCAGAGAAATTTCTCCAAGAAGTGCTCACAGTAGGCTGGGTGTGTTAGGCCATTCTGGCATTGCTACAAAGAAATACCCGGGTGGATCAGGAGGTCAGGCGATTGAGACCATCCTGGCTAACACGGTGAAACCCTGTCTCTATTAAAAACACAAAAAGATTAGCTGGGCATGGTGGCACGCACCTGTAGTCCCAGCTACTCAGGAGGCTGAGACAGGAGAATCACTTGAACCTGGGAAGCAGAGGTTGCAGTGAGCCGAGATCGCACCACTGCACTCTAGCCTGGGTGACAGAGCAAGACTCTGTCTCAAAAAAAAAAAAAAAAAAAAAACCCCAAGACTGGGTGATTTATAAAGAAAAGAGGTTTAATTGGCTCACAGTTCTGCAGGCTAAACAGGAAGCATGCTGCTGGCATTTGCTGGGCTTCTAGGGAAGCCTCAGAAAGCTTATAGTCATAACAGAAGGTGAAGGGAGAGCAGGAACTTTACGTACTGAAAGCAAGAAGTGTGGTTGGGGGAGGGGAAGTGGAGGTGCCATACAATTTTAAATGACTAGATCTCACAAGAACTCACTATCATAAAGACAGCACCCAGTCATGAGGGATCTGCCCACATGATCCAAACACCTCCCACCCCCGCTTCCTAGTACTGGGGATTACAGTTCAACATGAGATTTGGTCAGGGACAAATATCCAAACTGTATCAGTGGACAAATATCCAAATATCAGTGGCTCACCCCTGTTAATCCCAACACTTTGGAGGCTAAGATGGTAGAATCACTTGAAGCCATGAGTTTGAAGCCAGAGCAGCATAGCAAGGTCCCATCTCTACAAAAAAATAAAAATCAGCTCGATGTGGTGGTGCAAGCCTGTAGTCCTAGCTACTTGGGAGGCTGAGTGAGGCATGGGGATTGCTTGAACCCTGGAGATAGAGGCTGCAGTGAGCTATGATTGCACCAGTGCACGCCAGCTTGAGCCACAAAGTAAGAGACCCTGTGCCCAAAAAAAAAAAAGTGCCCTAAGTGAGCACAGGATACGATGTGTTTGTTGCTTGACGCTGCATGTCTGGGGTAGTTCAGTTGGTTAGAATTGAAATTATTGGCACTAAACATTAATAAACTGAGGTTGACACATCCGGCTGAACAACTTCCTGCTGTCTTGTCTTCGTTTTTTAGAGATGTGCAGTTTATCTTTAGATTTTTAAATTTTTTTGTTTCTATAAACCTCTGTGGACACCAATGTGTCTTCATCTAGTAGATGTTTGTGTTAATGGTTTTTCATTGTAGGAGCCATTAAGCTTCAAGGACGTGGCTGTGGTCTTCACTGAGGAGGAGCTGGGGCTGCTGGACTCTACCCAGAGACAGCTGTACCGAGATGTGATGCTGGAGAATTTCAGGAACGTGCTGTCAGTGGGTGAGAGGAATCCTCCGGGTAATTGGAACTGAACTTCTTGGAGTGTTCTTGTTCCTGGAGAGAAGATATTTTTGACTTTTTTACACAGGTTAAATCCTATTTTTATAGAACTCTTAGCTCTGGCTGCTATAAAAAATTGCCAGACTGGGTAGCATATAAACAACAGAAGTTTATTTCTAGAGTCTGGAAGGCCCGGTCCGAGATCAGGGTGGCAGCATGGTTGGGTTCTGGTGCGAGCCCTCTGCCAGGGTGCAGATAGCTGATTTCCTTTTGTGTCCTCACATGGCAGAGAAGAGCTCTCTGGGGATCTCTTTTCTAAGGACACTAATTTCTGTTCTGGGGGCTCCACCTTCATGACTTAATTACCTCCCAAAGACCCACCACCTCCTAATGGTATCACATTGGGATTTAGGATTTCAACATAGGAATTTTTGAAGACTGGGGTAACAGATGGAGAAACTCCAAGAGATGCATCTCCAGGTGAGAACCATGGGGCCTAGAGGTCTTGGAGATAAGAGCCTGGCTGGGCAGTGAGGAGTGAGCTTGCCACACAAGAGGTCCCATTCATCACCCCTTGTCTTGCCTGTGGGTACTGTTGGCAGCATCGTAGATGATTGTTCTGCCACTTCATTTCTTCCGTTCAGTTCCTACCTTCTCATGGTTTCTCTGTGTCTTTCACAGAATATCATACCCAGAATGAGTGAGGGACCTCTGGACTTCCGTCCCTCTAATAGAAACAGCCAGGCAGTAGAAGGCAAGCCAGTGGCAGAGAGACCGTCCCAGAATATTGAGAGTCCTCAAATGAATTTCTCACGTCCTTCTAGTATTGTACTAGTCCCTGGTTATAAACAGGTTCTTGTTACTCGAGCCCTAAAAGATAAAAATAGCCAATAAAGAATATCAGAAAACATGGACACAATTTTTAAATCATCCACAACTATGGTCAATATGCCAGTTTGATCCTTTGCAGCCTGGGATCCAGAGGATCTCAAGGCATAAGTAATGATTATAAGTCAAATATGTGTGTGCCTTCCTGCCTTAACAGTGTTTTCTGGATTCCTATTGAATCTCACACGAGATGACACAGGTGGTGCACTGTGGAAAATTTGGCACCCTCCTGAAGTATGGCTTACAGATACCCAGAGTACAGTCACTCTGAGACACAGTGCAGGGAGAAGGCCATGTGGGCTTCCTGCATTTAAATGCCAGCTCCACCACTGCCTCACAGTATGGTGGAATAATGTGCTAGGTTACCTACCCTCTCTCTGACTTGGTTTCATCATTAGAAAATGAAGATAATATAATGATTTCTACTTCGATATTATTCTGAGGTTTAAGTCAGTTAATATGTGTACATCATTGGCAGATAGGAAGTGTTACAATAGTGTCAGATATTATTTATATACAGTGTCAGATATAGGATCATACTAGCATCTAGCTTCAAAACTTATTAATAGGAGCCTCTTCCTGTCATAAACATAAGTGCTCTAATAGTTATGATACATAAAGCCTAATTTTTCTCTAGGCTATTATTAGTTCAAGTCTGAAAGTCTGATGTCCCTGAGCCAGTCTTTTTTTTTTTTTTTTTTTTTTGAGACGGAGTCTCGCTCTGTGGCCCAGGCTGGAGTGCAGTGGCCGGATCTCAGCTCACTGCAAGCTCCGCCTCCCCGGTTTACGGCATTCTCCTGCCTCGGCCTCCCGAGTAGCTGGGACTACAGGCGCCTGCCACCTCGCCCGGCTAGTTTTTTGTATTTTTTAGTAGAGACGGGGTTTCACCGTGTTAGCCAGGATGGTCTCGATCTCCTGACCTCGTGATCCGCCCGTCTCGGCCTCCTAAAGTGCTGGGATTACAGGCGTGAGCCACCGGGCCCGGCCCCTGAGCCAGTCTTTTACTAGTTCTCATCTCTGAATTGTCTTTAACCTCATAGGAGACAAGAATGGAAGGGATATGGAATATATTCAAGATGAAGAATTAAGGTTATTTTCACACGAAGAGCTCTCCTCCTGCAAAATCTGGGAAGAGGTGGTGGGTGAATTACCTGGGAGTCAAGACTGTAGAGTAAATCTGCAAGGAAAAGACTTCCAGTTCTCAGGAGATGCTGCTTCCCATCAAGCGTGGGAAGGAGCATCTACACAGTGTTTTCCAATTGAGAATTTCCTGGACAGTCTACAAGGGTATGGGCTTACCGCTTTAGAAAATCAACAGTTTCCAGCCTGGAGAGCTATAAGACCGATCCCCATTCAAGGATCTTGGGCAAAAGCATTTGTGAACCAGTCAGGGGATGTTCAAGAAAGATGTGAAAATCTCAACACAGAAGACACTGTATGTAAATGTAATTGGGATGATTACAGCTTTTGCTGGATATCTTGTCATGTTGATCATAGATTCCCTGAAATAGACAAGCCATGTGGTCGCAATAAATTTAGAAAAGACTGCATTAAAAACTTTGTACTTCACAATAACCCTGGAGAGAATGGCTTGAAAAGTAACGAATATGGAAATGGCTTCAGGGACGATTCAGACCTTCCCCCTGATCCAAGGGTACCTTTGAAAAAGAAAGGTAAGGGCTTGAGGCAGAGTGCCTATCTTAACAGACATCAAAGAATTCCCACAGGAGAGAAATCTGTTGAGAGTCTTCATCAAGGGGTGCACACAGGAAGGAGACCTTATAAATGTGAGGAGTGTGGGAAGGCGTTTGGTCGAAGTTCAAACCTGCTTGTCCATCAGAGGGTCCACACTGGAGAGAAACCGTATAAATGCAGCGAGTGTGGGAAGGCCTTCAGTTACAGCTCAGTGCTTCAGGTCCATCAAAGGCTGCACACAGCAGAGAAGCCCTACATCTGCAGCGAGTGTGGCAAAGGCTTCTGCACCAAGTTTGCACTCCTCAAGCACCAGCACGTTCACTCTGGAGAAAAGCCCTACACCTGTGTCGAGTGTGGAAAGGGATTCAGCTGGAGCTCCAGCCTCAGCAGTCATCAGAAGACGCACACCGGTGAGCGGCCCTACCAGTGTGACAAGTGTGGCAAAAGTTTCAGTCAGAACTCGTACCTTCAAGCTCACCAGAGAGTTCACATGGGGCAGCATCTGTACGAATGCAATGTGTGTGGTAAGAGTTTCATTTACAACTCAGGGCTTCTCACGCATCAGAGACTGCACACAGGAGAGAAACCCTACAAATGCGAATGCGGGAAGGGCTTTGGCCGGCGCTCCGACCTCCACATCCATCAGAGGGTCCACACAGGAGAGAAACCCTATAAATGTGGTGAGTGTGGGAAGGGCTTCCGGCGGAATTCGGACGTTCACCACCACCAGTGGGTCCACACGGGAGAGAGGCCCTACATATGTGATGTGTGTGGGAAGGGTTTCATCTACAGCTCCGACCTCCTTATCCATCAGAGAGTCCACACTGGAGAGAAGCCCTATAAATGTGCTGAGTGTGGCAAAAGCTTCAGTTGCAGCTCAGGGCTTCTCATTCACCACAGAGTCCACACTAGTGAGAAACCTTTCAGATGCCAAGAGTGCGGAAAGGGCTTTAGGTGCACGTCAAGCCTTCACAAACATCAGCGAGTCCACACGGGGAAAAAGCCCTATACGTGTGATCGGTGTGGCAAGGGATTCAGTTATCGCTCTAATCTTCGCACCCACCAGAGGTTGCACACGGGAGAGAAACCCTACACTTGTCATGAATGTGGGAAGGGTTTCAGTTACGGCTCAGGTCTCATTAGTCACAAGAGAGTTCACACTGGTGAGAAGCCATACAGATGTCACGTGTGTGGGAAGTGCTATAGTCAGAGCTCACATCTTCAAGGTCATCAGAGGGTCCACACTGGTGAGAAACCCTATAAATGTGAGGAGTGTGGGAAGGGCTTTGGCCGCAGCTCCTGTCTTCATGTTCATCAGAGAGTCCACACTGGAGAGAAGCCCTATACATGTGATATGTGTGGGAAAGGCTTCAGGTACACCTCAGGGCTGCGGAACCACCAGAGAGTGCATTTAGATGAGAACCCTTATAAGTAGATGTACACAGAGGATTCCATCTGGGACCTGGGGCTTTCTGTCCATCTGAGAGCCAACACAGGAGAAAAACCATAGGAAAGTGACATGTAGGAGGGCTATAGGAGAAACTCATGATTTTACATTTATCTCATAGTCTGCATAGGAAGGGAAGACCTGGAAGTGTGATAAGTAAGCACTTCAGTTACAAATTTCAGTCTTTAAGAGTCTGTTGTGCAGCAGAGCAGGCTTTAAAGAAACAATGCAGCAGTGGTTTCAGTAAAAATCCTCACTTTCATCAGAATCTGCCTGGGAGGAAGCTTTTACAATGTACAAGTGGTGAGAATGTATCCAAGATGTCAATTATGGACATAGATTCTTTGTGTGGGTTGTATAGCTATCAATAGGACAGCGTAGGAACAAGTTTCACCTTCCTAAAACCAGTGTGGTACATACCTTATAAAGATCACTTTATAAAAACAAAAAGGTAACATTAACAGTTATTGAAACAAGTCACTCTGAGAAGACCAGGAAGAGTCCTCTTAGCAGATCTGTGTGTGTCTCACATTTTTATTATGTTTTTGTGACTGTATTTTATCTCATAGGTAAGCTTTACAGCTCTCAGAGGAGTTGTAGTAAACTGCAGAAATAGTTTACTTTCCAGGTTAAAAAAACAAAATCTGGCGTTGCATTGAGTTATTAATTACATTTATTTATTTATTGGCATTGCATTGAATTTATAGGTTAATTTTGAAAGAACGTGGCATCTTTGAAATGCTGATTTTTTTTTTCACTTAAAAAAATGACTTTTTCCCACTGATAGTATTTTACATGGTCCCTTAGTAATATTTCTTAGAGATGGTTAAAAATAGGTTCTGAGTTATCTTAAGCATATTTCTAGGAATTTGTTTTATTGCTGTCATGAATATAATGGTTTTGCTCCAGTTCATTTCATAGTTTAATGTATCAAATATTAGATATCTTAAAAATCACAAACGCCATTTCACCCTAAAGTAGTAAAATTAGCAGTAGTAAAATAGTCATCAAATCCCCCATCACTGGGGGGGTTGTAGAAACATGCAGTCTGATATGGTTTGGCTCTGTGCCCCACCCAAATCTCATCTCAAATTTTAATCCCCATGTGTCAGAGGAGGGCCTTGGTCAGAGATGATTGGATCACGAGCGCAGATGTCTCCCTTGCTGTTCTCATGATAGTGAGTTCTCATGAGACCGATGGTTTTAAGGTGTAGCCCTTCCTCGTTCTCTCCTTCCTGCCCCCCTTGTGAAGAAGGTCCTTATTTCTCCTTTGCATTCAGCTGTGACTGTAAGTTTTTGGAGGCCTCCCCAGCCATGTGGAACTGTAAGTCAATTAAACCTCTTTCCTTTATAAATTACCCAGTCTCAGGTAGTTCTTTATAGCAGTGCAAAAATGGACTTATTTTTGCAAAAATGTACATAAGTCTTATGTACTTATTGGTAAGAGAGAAAATGGGTGCACGGTTTTTGAAAGAATTCGTTAACATATCAGTTCAATTTCTATAACCTTTGAAGTGGCAGTAAATACGTAGGTGGAGTTTTTTAAAGGTTTTTTTTTTTTTTTGTTTTTAAATAGCAAATGTTAATATTTCCAGTTTCCATTGGTAGGAAATTTTTAAAAATAAGTTCAGGCATATGTATGCAATGGAAAGCCATTAGAAATCTCTAGGCACACAGATAATGACGATGAAGGTTGCTCGTGAACTGTTTAGTGAACCAGGAGAAGTTTAGAACAATTATAGCACGACCCCATTTTGTTAATATGTTTTTCTATTTGTATGTTTAGAGCAACAGAGAAAAAAATACTTATAAGAGGTCACTATCATTAACTAATCTCTAGTGGTGGGATTCTGAATATATAATACATACATTGTACTTTTATGTATTTTACTTTGTAACAAAGTATCTTTCAGTCTTATAATAACAGTAAAGCTATTTTTAAAAAATTATCCTGATGGAACAATCCGTTATGATTAAAGATTCATGTTGTAACCTCTACAACTTTTTTGGCTTTTTCTCCTGTTCACCCAACTCCCTGTACCAAAGATAAGGCATACAAATGAGTGATGTGAATACTCAGAGGGTACATCATTTTTGCTGACTGGTAGGAGATGAGGCCATCTAGATAATTAGGAGCCACGGTGTATCCATTTTGCAGTCCTGCCTTCTTGGACTAGTGAGCTCACGAGCCTGATTTTGTAGAGGGCAGCACATCATCATGTGTTCCTCCAGGATAACCTCTCTGTTTGGCGACTCAGGAAACCTGGGTCTGCTCTGGTCTGAGCCCTCTGCTGCCTGGAGCTGCCAAAGAGAGAAGACGTGTCAGGAGGTGGGGAACAGGCACTTTATATCTAAATAAAGAACATAACCAAAGTATTTACTGTGGGAAATAAGGTTTCGGAAGTGGGCAGGGGGCGGGGATAAAAAGTAATTTATGGGAACTGCAGCAGGGTCACTCGGGATGTAGGATTTCATGGCCAATAGAACAAATGCAGACACCATCCCCATCCCTCCTACCTCAAAGTTTGTGGCTGAAAAGTTTAACTCATTCTGTATTCCCTGAGGTTGTCAGCAGACTCCTCAAATTCTAGGCAGTATCTCCCCCAATGTTCTAGAGGCAGCTGTCAAATGTTGGCAGGGGCTGCAGTCATCTGAATGCTGGACTGGGGCCTGCAAGTTCTGCTCCCAAGATCACTTCAGGCAGGAGCCTCTCAGTTCCTTGCTGGCTGTTAACAGAAGTCTCTTTCTCACCTTGTGGGCTTCCCAGGGCTAAAGGCCTTCATCATGCAGCAAATGACATCCCCCAGAGTAAGTAATCAGAGAGGAGAGAGCAAGCCGGAAGCCAGGGTGCCTTTTATGACCCAATTTCTTAAGTCATCATCACTTCTGCTATATTCATGAGGAGTCACTAAGTCTAGGCTACACTTATGGGGAGGGGTCACATCTTAAAACCACAGCACCTGTGTAATCATGGGAGACTAATGTGGATGGAATGGTCACGCCAACAGTGGGTCTGCCTTGTGCACTTGTGATGTCTCTTTTCTACTTCCGGGTCTGCAGTCCTTGAGGTCTCACTGGGTTGCCTAAAGTTTACTCAGGTGCCAACCAGCTGCTAGGATTTCAGTGGCAGTAAAGTATACAGACAGTTAAGGAGAGAAAGTGCAACTGTTGTGCAGTGGGTTGCTGTGGGGGTAGGAATTCAGTGCTTTCTATGAGATAAAATGAGGCGTTACTCTGTGGTGTCATTTTTTTTAATGCTCTATGGTAGAAAGGTTAATACAAGTTTAAGGGAATTTGCAGAGTTGTAAAAGCAGCCTGTCTGTGGGGACAACATTGGAAATAAAATCTGGTAGTACATAGAGAGATAATTAAGCAAGTTGTCGCTAACTGGAGTGGGTTGGTAGGGGAGATGGGTCTGGTCAGAATCTAAGGTTCATGCTGACAGTAACATTGTATCCTGCCAACAAGTTGATGATGTGGACGTTTGGTAAGGTGGGTTCAGATACAAAGGACACCAATATCCCAGAAGCATTTGTGGATCTAAACAAGTTGCAACTATACTTCAGGACAGTCGTCAGCCTGAATACACATATCTCAAGTATAATAAGGGCATTGTGAAGTAACAGTATGCCTTCAAAATGAAGCATGCCAAGTTAGCAAGGGAATCTCCCAGCAACCATTAGGATGAGACAGTTTGACGGGAGGTCAGAACTTAAAATTCAGCTTAGCTATACTTGAGCGATCTCTTGCATCCAGATGTGTTGTTAAGAATACCGAAACACCTCAGTCTGTTGCACTGAACCCTGGAGTCACAGCATAACATGGGATTGTGCAATCTGGCCATCAGGAGTGATTGCATATCACATTCAGCTTCTCGAATGGCTATTGACATTTGGCCAGTCCATAGATACTATGTCAGACCCTATTTTAACCACTAAGAGTTCAGCCATTAAGAATCATGCCTCTGCATAATCTGGGCATGGGGCCCTGCATGAAGCTGTCACAGGCAGGCAGCATGCAGAGCAGAAAGGCAGATCATGAAGTCGTACTGACCTGGGTTTAAGTCTGAGATCCGCCATTCCTTTCTTCATCTCTAAAACAGAATCACACTCTCTGCTTCACATAGAAATGTGATGTATTCACCCAATACATTTTTCACTCTTTTTCCTTTTACCAACGGGGTAGGTTTGTTTGCTTCCTTCAGGCCTGTTGAATGAAGCGTCTGTCTAGTCCCAAAAAGACTGGGTTCCTTCTGGATGGAACACTTGGGAAGGCAGTGCACCCCTCCCCCAAAACTTGGTCCCATGCATCTCTTCACCTGTACCGTTCTGCAATTTCCTTCAGAATCAACTGCTAAACATAAGTGTTTCCCTGAGTCCTGTCAGCTGCTCTAGGCAGATTAATGGAATTCAAAAAGGAAATGGTGGTGGAATTCTGATTTCTAGCCGGCCTGTCGGAAGCACAGGTCAAACAACCAGGCGCATGCCACTGTTTTCAATGTTTTCATTTTGAAAAGTCGTTTTAGACACAGGGTCTCTGTGCAATCGTCCTGAATCGACCCCCTGAGTAGCCAGGACCACAGGGGCACACCACCATGCCTGACTGTTCACCCATTTTTCCATTATTCATTTTTCCCCCATTTTGTGTTGTGTAGCTACTGTCTGTCATGTGTTCAGGATAATTTTCTCCAATAATTTGATCTCTGTTCTTCCTTTAATATACGATCAAATTCATAGACTTGACCTCAGGGCACGTAGGTTGAGAAGCACGATTTCAACCAAAAATTGATCCTTCCCTTTTTCGGTTTGAGACTTTGTTTATTTCACCGCTTGTTTCCTTAAGAATGTCTGCATGTTGCTAGGACTTTATTTCTTCCTTTGGAACCAAAACTTGGTCTGTCACTTCTTTGGTTTGAGACTTTATTTCACTCCTAGTGTCTTGTAAATATGCATATTTCTAGGACTTAATTTCTCTTTTTCCTAATGCAAATTACACATATGTTTAAGATAATACTGGTTTATGTTAAAATGCAAGCCCCCTTCCTACATCAACCACCTCTCCCTTAATTTCATTTCTCTCCCAAAATAACCATCAGTTTCACCTCTGTTTCAGATCAGCTTCTATATATTCACATGCATATTTGTGTACAGTTAGAGTACAGATAGAGCACAGATAGAGTTTGACAGTTTTTGTTTGCTTTCACTTAGATGGTGCCATATTGACTAGATATTCTGCACCTTAGTTTTGTTTACATTGTCTCAGGGTTATTTCCATGTTCATATATATTAGTTACCTTATTTTTTGGGGGGCATAGTATTCCATACTATGGGTCTATCAAGTTAATAAACTGCTATAAACAGGATATCACCACTGATCCCACAGAAATACAAACTATCATCAGAGAATATTATAAATACCTCTACACAAATAAACTAGAAAATCTAGAAGAAATGGATAAATTCCTGGACACATACACCCTCCCAAGACTAAACCAGGAAGTTGAATCCCCGAGTAGATCAATAACAATTTCTGAAATTAAGGCAGTAATTAATGGTCTACCAACAAAGAAGCCCAGGACCAGGTGGATTCACAGCCGAATTCTACTGAATTCTACAAAGAAGAGCTAGTACCATTCCTTCTGAAACTATTCCAAACAATAGAAAAAGAGGGATTCCTTCCTAACTCATGTTATGAGGCCAGCATCATCCTCATACCAAAACCTGACGGAGATACAACAAGAAAATAACATTTCAGGCCAATATCCCTGATGAACATCAATACAGAAATCCTCAATAAAATACTGGCAAACCAAAATCAGCAGCACATCAAAAAGTTTATCAACCACGATCAAGTTGGCTTCATCCCTAGGATGCAAGGCTGGTTCAACATATGCAAATCAATAAACATCATCCATCACATAAACAGAACCAATGACAAAACCACATGATTATCTCGATAGATGCAGAAGAGGTCCTTGATAAAATTCAATATCCCTTATGCTAAAAAAAACTATCAATAAACGAGGTATTGATGGAACATATGTCAAAATAATAAGATATTTATGACAAACCCATAGCCAATATCATATGAAATGAGCAAAAGCTGGAAGCATTCCCTTTGAAAACCAGAACAAGACAAGGATGCCCTCTCTCACCACTCCTATTCAATACAGTATTGGAAGTTCTGGCTGGGGCAACCAGGCAATAGAAAGAAATAAAGCATATTCAAATAGGAAGAGAGGAAGTCAAATTGTTCCCATTTGCATACAACATAATTGTATATTTAGGAAACCCCATCATCTCAGCCCAAAAACTCCTTAAGCTGATAAGCAACTTCAGCAGTCTCCTCAGGATACAAAATCAATGTGCAAAATTCACAAGCATTCTTATACACCAACAATAGACAAGCAGAGAGCCAAATCATGAGTGAACTCCCATTCACAATTGCTACAAAGAGAATAAAATACCTAGGAATAACACTTACAAGGGATGTGAAGGACCTCTTCAAGGAGAACTACAAACAGCTGCCCAAGGAAATGAGAACATAAACAAATGGAAAAACACTGCATGCTCATGGATAGGAAGAATTAGTATCATGAAAATGGCCACCATACTGCCCATAGTAATTTATAGATTCAATGCTATTCCCATCAAGCTACCAGTGACTTTCTTCGCAGAATTAGAAAAACTACTTTAAATTTCATATGGAACCAAAAAAGAGCCTGTAGAGCCAAGACAATCCTAAGCAAAAAAAAAAAAAAAAAAAAAAACAAAGCTAGAGGAGGCATCACGCTACCTGACTTCAAACTATACTACAAGGCTACAGTAACCAAAACAGCATGGTATTGACACCAAAACAGATATATAGACCAATGGGACAGAACAGAGACCTCAAAAATAACACTACACATCTACAAGCATCTGATCTTTAACAAACCTGCCAAAAACAATGGTGAAAACATCCCTATTTAATAAATGATGCTGGGAAAACGGGCTAGCCATGTGCAGAAAATAGAAACTGAAACCCTTCCTTACACCTTATACAAAAATTAACTCAAGATTGGTTAAAGACTTAAATGTAAAACCCCAAACCATAAAAACCCTAGAAATAAACGTAGGCAGTACCATTCAGGACACAGGCATGGGCAAAGACTTCATGACTAAAACACTGACAGCAATTGCAACAAAAGCCAAAACTGACAAATGGGATCTAATCAAATCAAAGAGCTTCTGCACAGCAGAAGAAACTATCAACAGAGTGATCAGGCAACCTACAGAATGGGAGAAAATTGTTGCAAGTTACCCATCTGACAAGGGTCTAATATCCAGAATCTTCAAGGAACTTAAACTTACAAGAAAAAACAAGCCCATCAAAAAGTGGACAAAAGATATGAACAAACACTTCTCAAAAGAAGACATTTATGCAGCCAGCAAACATATGAAAGAAAGCTCATCACTTGTCATTAGAGAAATGCAAATCAAAACCACAATTAGATAGCAATCTGATGACAGAATGGCAATCATTAAGAAGTTAAGAAACAACAGATGCTGGAGAGAATGTGGAGAAATAGAAACGCTTTTACACTCTTGGTGGGAGTGTAGTTTAGTTCAACCACTGTGGAAGACAGTGTGGCAATTTCACAAGGATCTAGAACCAGAAATACCGTTTGACTCAGCAATCCCATTACTGGGTACATACCCAAAGGATTATAAATCATTCTACGATAAAGACGCATGCACATGTATGTTTAGTGCAGCACTATTCACAATAGCAAAGACTTGGAACCAACCCAAATGTCCATCAATCATAGACTGGATAAAGAAAATATGGCGTATATACACCATGGAATACTAAGCTATAAAAAAGAATGAGTTCATATCCTTTGCAGGGACATGGATAAAGCTCGAAACCATCAATCTCAGCAAACTAACACAGGAACAGAAAACCAAACACCGCATCTTCTCACTCATAAGTGGGAGTTGAACAATGAGAACATATGGGCACTGGGAAGGGAACATCACACATCGGGGCCTGTTGGTGGGTGGAGGGCAAGGAGAGGGATAGCATTAGGAGAAATATCTAATGTAGATAATGGGTTGATGCTTGCAGCAAATCACCATGGCTCATGTATACCTATGTAACAAACCTGCACATTCTGCATATGTATTCACGAATTTAAAGCAAAATAAATTTCAAAAAAAAAAAAAAAGACTAAAAGCCAGATTCCTTTCATTGGTTTACAAGATGGTGTATCAGCTCTCACTCACTCTGTCATGCAAGCCTCCATCTCAGAGGGAACTTGCTGTTCCCTCTGGCTAAAACTCTTCGTACAGGTATTTGCATTGCTCATTTCCTTGCTTCATTAGGTCTTTACTCACACAGCACCTTGTCAGTGAAACCTTCTCTAACCTTCATATTGCATTCTCTATCTGCCTCCCTTTTTCCTTAATTGCACATATAACCACCATATTTCCGGTGTCAGGATCACTAGCTGACACACAGTAGTTACCTAACAAATACGTGTTGAAGAAGCTATGCAGTCCCTGTCCTCTAAGCTTGTAGCCGGGTCTGAAGATGAGAAACCACAGTATAGTGCGATGATAAGAGAGGTGCCAGACATAGTGAGGACCTAATATAGTGGGGGATATCAAAGAAGGCTTCTTGGAGAAAATAACCAGAGACCTGAGGATAACAATAATAACAACAACAACACACAGTCTTCAAACTCTTTAGCATGACCTGCAAGATTCTTCAGCATTGGGCCCACAGTGATGTTTCCAGCATCATTTTGGTCACTCTTCCCTGTGATCCCGGTGCTCTGGTCGCTAGCCTAGTGCTTCCTATCATTTCATTGGACCACAGTATTTTCCACAGTCTGTATTTCTGTTAAATAAGGATAATAATTCTTATTTGAAAAGCTGAAAAAAATAAGCCTTCTTTCTTTGACACAGACATAGCTATTTGATTAAAGCTCACAGCCCATTACATGGTGTGGGCGGCAAGCCACCCAGGTGCCGAGGCAAGAGACCGAGGGCATGAGTTGTTCCACTATAATACAATATATAAAATAAGAATATGTATACTAGATACAGATAATAGATGTGATTATATATGAATATCATTAATCATTAGTTTGTAGCAATTACTCTTTATTCCAGTATTATAATAATCCTCGCTCTACAATTATAACCTAGGAAACACCAAGCCATACAGAGATAGGGGCTGAGGGGACATAGTGAGAAGTGACCAGAAGACAAGAGTGCGAGCCTTCTGCTATGCCCAGACAGGACCACCAGAGGGCTCCTTAGTCAAGCGGTAATGCCAGTGTCTGGGAAGACGCCCGTTGCCAAGTGGACTGTGGTCTAGTGGTAGCGTCAGTGTCAAGTAAACACACCCGCTCCTTAGCAGACCGGGAAAGGGCGTCTCCTTTTCCCCAGGGGGAGTTTAGAGAAGACTCTACTCCTCCACCTCTTGTGGAAGACCTGACATCAGTCAGGCCCGCCCGCAGTTATCCGGAGGCCTAACCATATCCCTGTGATGCTGTGCTTCAGTGGTCACGCTCCTAGTGTGCCTTCATGTTCCATCCTGTACACCTGGCTCTGCCTTCTAGATAGCAGTAGCAAATTACTGAAAGTACTAAAAGTCTCTGATATGCAGAAATAATGGTGTAAGCTATCTCTCTCTCCTCTCTCTCTCTGCCTCGGCTGCCAGGCCAGGAAGGGCCCCCTGTCCAGTGGATATGTGACCCATGTGACCTTACCTATCATT